TTTAAATGTATGTTCTCCATTTATCTTCTATAACCTCTTAAGATACATTAGAGTTTCACATATATATGAAAAAAAGAGACAGTGAACATAAGACTATAGCACTCTTACAAACCTACAGGTTTCAGATGGTCACATTAATTTCTTACTCTGAAGTGAAGTCCCTGTAATTGAAGAATGTAATTCCTTCGTTTTATTTCTGACTAGAGAAAAGCAGCACTATATTTGATGAGTAACTGATGTTTTACTGCTTCAATCACCCCAGGATATCATGAGGCATTTTCAGGGCATTTTACAGAGAAATGCCATCTTCTGATGATATTATTCTGAAACTGGGAGTCCAGAAAGAGGCAAAATGTGGAGTGCACATTCCACTGTACCATAGCATAATGTTCTTGATATATTTTCCACATAATTTTTTTGTTACTGTTACTGTTGTTTTCCAAAAGAAAAACAAAGTTTGGAAGAGGTAAGTGACATTATTTTTTCCACATAATCTCTTCCATACAGATGAGAAATCATTGCATTTGTATATTGATATGTCATTCCATGGCTTTCACTCTCAATCTTAATATTGTACTTAAATGTCAGCATATTACTTATGGCCTGAGACCATTCATTCAGCATAAATGTATAACACCTTTTCTCAGTGTCAAATAGGTAAGACAAATTAGATTTCTAGCTTCATTGGAAAATGCATATACAAATATGATAAATTTTATGAAGGAATAAAAATCATCAAAAGAGAAAATTAAAATTAAAGGAATCCTCCACCCCAAGGAATTGATATTTAAGCTGGTTTGTCAGCAACCTGGTAGATTTATTCATGTGCATAACATGAAAGGGTAGTTTGTTAAGAAGATAGTCTATGTATAACCAGCCTAAGACAGAGAAGAGGCCATTACATCTCACTGATGGAAAATGGCCCCTGAATATCTTAGAGAATTTTCAGAGTTGTGGCTTATCACTTTCTAGTACATGTTACTTTATTCTGAATATCCATGCACTTACAAACTTTTCCTAATAAATTCAATCCTCCAAAAATTGAAAGTTATTCTAATTCCCATATACAAATATTTATGAAAAAATTTAATTATTGAGGATGTTTGGTTTGATAAGAAGCGGATTATTTTCTACTAGTATTTGTATCATTGCTACTTTCATGATTGGTATTAAATGTTACTATAACAACTGGAAGCTAAAATTTGCCAAGTGTTCATTATGGAGAATGCATAGTATTTAGTTTTCTACATACTATCTCATTTATTTTTCACAACAGCCCTATGCTGAGGTATCATAATTATGTACATCATTATGGGAGTTCATTGTATCTGAAAGAAGCAAAGTAACTTCACCAAGATCACAACTTCTAAGGACAGAGCAATTATCAAGATTCACGTCTTTCTGACTACAGAGACAGAGATTCCAAAGATTAGAAATACAATAAGGCCGTATAAGAAATAGATGACTTAGTTATTGCATGAGATCACAGAAAAATAAAGATGAAAAGTTTCAAATGAAAATAGGCATGCCAGCCGGGCTGGGTGACTCAGCCTGTAATCCCAACACTTTGGGAGACCAAGGTGAGTGGATTGCCTGAGTTCAAGGGTTTGAGAACCACCTGGGCAGCTTAATGAGACCTCATCTCTACAATAAATCAAAAATTAGCCGGGAGTGGTAGCCCATACCTGTAGTTCCAGCTACTTGGAAGGCTGAGGTGGAAGGATCGCCGGAGCCCAGCAGGTCGAGGCTGCGGTGGCCGGGAGCGCCACTGCACTCCAGTCTGAGTGACAGAGTGAGACTCCAACTCAACAAAAAAAAGGAAATAAGCATACCATGCTTGGAGATACAATAGAATTTAGTGATAAGACAGAACAATAAAGTAGTACACACTTAAAGAATAAGGAGAACTCATCCTGAAATATCTAGCCCTGAAAATATTCAGACAGGACAGCCATATTCAGATGGGACAGCCATATTGGCTGGACAGTCTTTGCTCCTGCCTGGAGCAAATAGTTATTGAAGGTTCTGTCCAACCCTGGGCTTTTAACACTTACACATCATGTGTCTCCTAGGAATTACACAAAATATAGCATAAATTGTTTTATCCAGTCTTCCATTTCTCTCACTCTTGTTTTTCTCCATTTCTCTTACCCAGTATTTGCATCTATCCTAAGGGAAACCAGTCTCTACAATGGACTGATATATATATAATGATTTTTATTATCAAATATGGAGGAGGGATGATGTTTGAAAGGAATGGTCAAAGTCGAGTGAATTCTTACTACATGCTACCACTGTTAGGGCTGCACAGAAATCTCTTCAAGTCCTTTGAATGTTAATAACTCAGCTTGTTCATTCCTCAGTTCTAATGTCCCATTGACTTCTAATCTTGGACTTAGTCAATAAGTGGAAGAGTCTGATGTTTAACTAACTATAAACCATTGGAGGAAAAGCCCAAGCCTTCTGGGAAGAAAGAACATTTTTCTTTTCTTTATTTTTTTATTCATTTGATATTATTTTTTATTTTAAAGATCTGGGGTACAATGGCAGGGTTAAGTATACAAACATTAATTATGGCAGTACCCTTGTTGATAAGGTGTGCCACTCCGCTAAGCAGTTTCTCTCAACTGCCAATCCCATCCCCCTCCCCCAGCCGTTTCATACTTAGTATTCTTTTAAAACTTGTCACTAATGAGTGAGTGCAAAATTGTGTTTTATGTGAGAATGTGAATAAAAAATTGATATTGCAGTTTATGCTTTCTGGGAGAAAATAGCTATGCAGAACTAAAGAAAACTCTGTAGCTTTCATAGAGAAAGAGTAATTGACAACATTTTCATTCTTTTCATCCTTATCTATTCTTCCCACTTTTCTTGTCTTTGTTGAATCTAAGTGTTATTCAGCTTTATATCACCAACTTTGTATCTTCAAAGATATAAAATATAAACTTCTTTTTAAAAATGAATCCTTTAATCCTGATGACAGAAGAGATAGACTTAGATTTTCCTATGCTATTATCAGATCTTTAAATCACAAGTTCCTTTAACTACCTCTCCTGCAATATTAATCTCCTAGTGAAATTTCCTTGGCTCACAGTCACTTAGTGGCAATGTTGGTATTTGAAGCCAGGAAGAATCAACTCAGAGCCCAGAATCTTAACTTCACTGGCATTATACGGGAGAGCTACATAATTCATCAAGAAATAATTAAGGTAGGAAAGGGATAAACAAATCATAGAAAATATTATTAGGTATAATCAAATAGACATTATGGATGAGAAGGGATTTCTGGATATTATAAACCTCTACATTGGGATGACAACAAAACAGAAACTAATAAGAGTGCAACTGTATTACAAAACAAGAAGGACAATGGGTTCAGCTTCAGATATTTTGTTTTTGTTACATACTCAGGACATACAGCATGAGGTTCAAAATGAGCTTTTAGTCTCTTTCCTATAGGACTTAAATTCATTTTTTCTTCTAAATAAAATTCTTCCACTTGTCACTTCTCTATTCATTTTAGTGTATGTTTGTTCTTCTAAGGTTAGAGATTGGGGAGCAGTAGCTGGAGGGCAACAAATCAAAATGTGAAGGCAGATGGTCTGTTGGAATCAGAGTTGTAGAAATGTCAGGGAGAACAATGTCCATCTTATTTTCATCTGTAGCAAATTAATAAGCAGTATAGAATCTACCAGTAGCCTATACTTTCTAGGAAAGTGAATTCACTACCCAGCTGTATCAATTAATTCTTTGTTGTTGAACTACTTCAGCAATTCCATTTTGAGTTAAATTTTGTGACGATATAATAAGACATTCAAAAAGCAAAAGGTTTCTACTAAAATAAAGAAATACCTGAGGGCAGAACTTATGTCTTATTAAAAATTGTATTTCGGGTCCTAATGCAGTGCATTCAACAGGTACGATATTCAATAAACATCCACTTTATGAACCTATTTAAGCATTTCACTAAGGTTTATTGACCAACCAATGTATGTCACTTTTTAGATTGTGAGGATACCCGAAAAGGGGAAAAAAAATCACTGTCCTCTTAGAAAGTATATTGTACTGACGAAGAAGACGGCAGAGAGGTTAACAAACTTATTCCCTCTGGCTTTCTCTTGTCTTTTCTCTGAAACTGAGGTCCAACCAATTGTGAATATCTATTCTGAGAGCTTCCATCAGAATACATCCAGCTGTCTATACATCAGGAGTGGGAGGGAACCAAATCCTGAGGGACCAATTCAATTTTTATCCATCAGCCACGGTGACTGTTCATTGACTCAGGGCATCATCCTCAAGCCACCAATCCTTCTTCTTGTGACTTTCCTAAATAAAATTAAAAGTGAGAAAGTAAAATCATCAACTAGCTTGGAAAGGTAGAAAAAATGTATGTTTCGTAATATATAGTGAGAGAAGGTGACTGATAAAATACATCTTCATGAGACTTTCCCCCCAGAACGCCTAGACATTTATTCAAAGGGCCAGAATAAACACAGACTAACAAGCAAACAGCTAGATTGATTAAGAAGACTCAAAAGCAAATAAAAAATAAACATTAACCACCAGACATTATTAATAAATTATTTTTGCATTTAATCTAAATAAAGTAATATTAAAAATATTTTCAGGCAAACCTAGTCTATTTACTAATAAATAAAGGATGTATCGATGCAAATGTACACATCATTTGTTAAACGCCACAGAATGTAAAACACAAAAAGTGAATCCTAATGCACATTATGGACTTTAGTTGAAAATGTTTCACTGGTGGTTCATCAGTTGTAACAAATAAGGAAGTTATGAGGAAGGGGAGGAGGGCTCTGGAAAATATGATTTTCCACTCAATTTGCTATAAACCTACAAAAACTGTTTTTAAGAATAACATCTGTTAATTTTATAAAAAGGAATGAAGGACTGGTACATGGCTGTCGCACGGCCGCAGGGACAGCGTCGTCCCGGGCCAGGCCGCCGCCATCAGCCCCAGCGCGGCCGCCCCCCACCCCCGGCCCCGCCCCCTCTGGGGGCCGGCCCTGCCGCCGCGCGGCCCGCGGTCGGCCAGCGTTGCCACCTCCATGGTCGCCTGCGCAAGCGACCCAACTGGGAGGCGCGGGCTTTGGGCTGGATGGAGGCTGCGCGGCGGCGACGCCCCTCATGGCAGCCCGGCCTCCCGCCCGCGCCGAGACCCGCCGCTAACCGCGGCCGGCAAGTTCGCCGTCCTTCAGACCCGGGCCACCTGCCCTGCCAGCCCAGCCCAGCGCCGGTCCCGCGTTTCCCTGGGATTGAATATTCAAGGGTTTGGGGGGTTTTTTTCACTCCATCTTCTGTATTAGCTTTCTGAGAAAGTCTGCAGTACAGATTTCATGACACTTCCTAAGGTTTTCAAGATTATATCATAGTGATCAGATTTTTCTTGTTCTATACTGTATATTTTCTCATTGTTTTAAACTGTATTTTTATATTCTTATTTTTACTTATGTGGACAATTATCACCATCTTAAAGAAACTGACTAAATGCTTTATTACTTTCTTTGCTTCCTCAAGGCTAAATTACATTTCCCATTGAATTTTCAAATGATTCTTGGTCATGAAATACCAGATTGAGATCAGTAGATTAGATATCAGAGAACCTGGGATAGGATAGGTTTCTGAAGAAATCAGTCTGAAGCCTGAATAGAATTCAGGCACTCTTGACTTGGTATCATGTGTACCCCCTCCAACCAGCTGAAAAAAGGAGAAAAGATCGGGACTTGGAATATCATCCTGGTTTCCAGAATCCAAGGTTCATGTTTTCCTTGGAGATGTTGAAGAGGCTTTCCTGGGTACAGGGAAAATGTCCAGAAGACCTACATCAGGGAATCAAAGAATGAAAAGGGAGTGCAGAGTCCGGAGAAGAATGTTTGGAGGAAGATGTAGATAAGGCACTAGCCAGTCATGTCATAAAAGTAGGTTCAGAGGCACACTTAGAAAGATCCTTCAGGGAGAGGCAGTTTGGAGAACAGATGATAGCCCAATACTCCCTTTCATAACAACCCATTGCCCAAAGTTCATTCTCAGGGGACACAGGATGGCTTCCTTCCTCACAACACTGTCCTTGGCAAACCCTTGGGCCCCATTCTGCCCTGTCCCCAACCTTTACCTCTCAATACCACCTCCTTGACTTGAGCCCCCTACTGGCCCAGCAGGAAGTTAAATCTCTGTGAAATGTCTGGATGCCCAAATATTCAGAGGCCACACCCTTGTTTCCCTCAGAATGCATCAGTTTCGGAGGAACTGTATTTGAATCCAGTGTCACATTCACTGCAAAGAAAAAACATTATTCTGATAATTAATCAGTATTGAAAAGTATTAATGATATGCTATTAACAGCCAAACGGGCAAACAAAAGTTTACTGACATAAGAAATTTAAAGTGGAAGAACTTTCTAGAGCACACCAAAACAGTCTCTATTACAACATGTGAGAAGTCTTTGGCTGGCTGAACAGGAATCACCGATAAGTAGATCACCATATTTTTAATGATCTCCATGAAATATTTATGCCAAATGAATCTCAGTGAAATCTCAGCTTGCAGCCTTGAAAGTAAGGGAAGCCATGTCACTAACTGTTTTCTTCCTCTTCCTTAACTAGATCACTGGGGAATGGGCAGTAGGAAATGCAGGTATTGTCTTTTAATTCTTTTGCTTTTACTGTGTCTGCAAACTCTTATCTCATTCAGCACTGAGCCTCAGTTTCATTCAGGTAAGCCATATACTCTCTTGTTTCTCAGGTTTCTTTAATGACTGAATAGTCACTGAATATCTCTCATAGGTGATTGTGGAAAAGGGGGGCTCAGAAAAGTGTGCAGTAAGGTTTCAACACAGAGTGTGCTCATTCTGTTTCTGTTTACCTAACTTACCTTTTTAACAAACCTTCCTCTTGATGAGGTCTATAGTTGCAGCAAGAAGCAATGTCAAAATAAGCAATATCTTCCATGAAAAGGTCATACTGGACTCTGAAATGAAACCACAGAATCCCTTTAAGTCATGAAGCAAGGACAATATCAAGATTGTCTTTGTCTTCTGAGCAGCTACTGGGATGGAAAGAAGAGAGGAAATTGAGCGTCTCGAGGAGGCAGTTGGTCTGCACCTCTCTGTGTTGGAGAAGCAGAGAAGCTACTGCAAATTTATGCCTCATGTTTGCTCCTCTCAAAAATGCACACACAATTTTTTTCCCTCCTCTCTTTCGACTGTATCACACAATCACTAGAATTACCTGAGTGGCACAAGAATAAAATTACCTAAGCCACAGCGATAAAGAAGGTGTTAATAAAAGTTTCTAATCCAGTAAAAAAAAAATTGAGAGGAAAATAACAAAGTGCTATAATAGTTTTTACATCAGAATAAAAGAGTTTGGAGATAAAGACAGAGTCAATTATGAGAATTTAGTGTGTACCCAAAAATAAATATAGTGTGAGACTCTAGTTGGGAATGCAGGGGGAAAGAGGAATAAGATTCCTAAGTGTCTGGAAAATCATCTTTGCTGAAGTTAACAGGAAAATTCATCCAAGAGAAGATAATAAAAATTATTTTAAAAGAATAATAAAGCAAGTAAGTCTGGTTTGGTCTTAACAACTATTTCCCAAACCTGAGAGGAACATATTAAATCACCCACATGAGGGGGAAAAAAAAGTTCCTGTTTTCTCCTTGACCAAAAAAGGAATGCTGATGGAATAAATCATGTTCACAAGAGAGATGTTTGTGGCCAATAGAAATGTCTTCACATGTAATAGTACATAGCTGCCTGGAGTCATGGCCTCAGAAGACGGTGTTATTACTTTCCCTTTGATGTCCCTCCACTGCACGTAGGCTGTGGGAACCACCCATCTGAAAAGCACATCTGCTACACGTCTCCATCCGTTAATTTCTCCATGGTGATCAGTGGGGAAGAGCATAGACCTGGGAATAGAGATCAAGGAACCCAAGCCTAGCATCTCTTCAAGTGGTTGGGTAGTCAGTGACTTCCATAGGAGGGAAGAGGGGAATGCAGAGGATTTAAGGAGGAGAACAGAGTTTAAGGAGGATTATATTCCATTTAGGGATGAGGTTGACTGGAGCATTTTCTTGTTTTGTTTGTTTATATTTAAAAAATTCTGCAACAGATTAGGAGGTAAAATAATTTTTCATATCCAACATTTTTCTTCTGTTGCAGAGAAGAAAATAACTTTGACCAGGACATGGATCACATGGACAGGATAAAAAAAGTTAAAGGATATTCTTAAAGATCAGAATCTTATAAATATCTATGTGCAATAGCAGAAAATGATGGGGCTTATTTAACTTCTTAACATGTGGTCCTGTGGGTATTTTCCACATGCTTATGAATTTAAATTCAAAATCCATTAGAGACACATGTAGAATATCCAAGATTTTGTCCTATGTCCTCAATAGCCTTTGTTCACCTTGGACAATCAATTTCCACAAACATAGACAGTGGGAAATCATGAGGCAGGGAGTGATTTTTTACCTTTTTTCTCCAGCCCTGTTGACACTACAGAACTACATAATTTTTTAATTTGGTGGGTCCAGTTTAGTCTTCAAATGATTACATTTCCTAGAATTTATTACATTTCCTGGAATTTATATTTCACACTATGAAATAATGAGTCCTGTATAAATTTATGGAGTGAAATTATCAAATTTCCCTAAACATGTGGTCACTTTTTAACAACAATGGTAAGGATACAAGTTCTTTATCCAAATAATTAAATTTGGTCCATCTTAGTTTGTGAACTTTGAGAATCTACAATAGTTCCACACAGTGGAAGTTTCAATATAAATCTGACAACCAATGACATTTAAGGAAATTTCAAAAACCAGATAAATTTTCTAGAGATGGTGAATACAACAAGGTGTTGAATACAAAATAACAGATTCCTTACCTACCACCTTCAGATCCAAATTGGCCTCCTGGTTGACAGCATCTTGTTCAAAAAGGCAGTGGTACTTCCCATCATCTGAAGGTTTGGCATTGTGTATCTTCAGGGTCACTCTGCCCTTGTCAAGGGCATCACTCACCAGTGCAGTTCTTCTTCTATACTCAGCCATCTGTTCTCCAGCCACATGGTCCCCATCCAAATACACATGCATAGCAGGGTAACGGTGCGATCGAAACCACCTCACCTCCATGCTCTGTGCATCAGCCTTGGGGGACAGATAACAGGATAAATGTATGTCTTCTCCCACTCCAACAAAGATGGACTGAGAAGGCTCAATCACTTTCAAGAAAGCTGCTCAACACAGCAAATAAAACAATAAAAGAATCAAAGTGGAGCAAATAATATCATTACCAAGATTAGCTCTATGGTGTTTAGAGACCACAGGCATCCCAGGAAAGCAGTGAGGCCCAAGGTCATCCTTTGGAGAAGTGAGTGCTTCAGAGACTCAGGACAGAGGTTCAAGGAAGAAATATCCCATGATGTGTTTCAGTATAAAAAAAAAAAAAAATCTGTAATTGAACCCCCAACTGCCTTTACCTATAATTTCATTCAGTTTACAGACAAGTAACTTACAAATTTTGCAGTTAAAATTTTCACAATAAAATGAACATTTCACAAATTTGGCCTGAGGATTCCTCTGTACCTGAGGCCCTGTGTAACAAACTGCAACCTAACTTATTGTGGAAACTAACTGAAAACCTAACTTAGGAGTGCGTGTATATGTTTTCAATGAATAGTTGAGCAACCATGCTTTAGTCAATTACATGTGGCCAAATGTGCAAGCCTTGTTCAAATAGACAAACACTGAGCTGTAACCAGTAGAGCTGTCTCCATATCTCACTTCTGTTTTCTGGACCTCACTTCTGTTTTCTGTCCATACATGCTGTCTGCCCAACTTAATGCCCGGAATTCTCTGAACATGCTCTGGTTCTGAGGGTTTCCTGATTCATGACTCATTCTTCACTCAAGTAAATTCTGCTAACTTTAGTCTGTCTGAGGTTTTTCTCTTAAGACCTCAAATCTATTTATCTTTAACTACTTCTTGATCTTTCCCAATTTCTAAAATCATAAATTTGGCATATTACTCCCCAAATCATAAGTTTGTTCTGGAGTTAAACAAAATAGTCTATGTAAAGTTCTTGTATAACCACGCAGTGTGAGCAGTCACATAGACCTGTGACACTTGAGAGCATTGGAGCATATTACATTCTCTGACTTGATAATGGGAAGAGTTGAAAATGAGTTCCAGGTGGACTTTTAGTAGTGAAATTTGAAGAAACCTACCTCTAGGTAGTCTCTATAATACCTTGCAAGTTAACCATTGTATCTTATTTCATCAATGTTCCACATCTGTGAAGTTATAGATACACACCAAGCTGAAGTCCCCAAATAATTTTGAGAAAAATTTCAAAATCAAGAACTGGGGAGATGTGTCTCTCCCTGGAACTGACAAAATGCAAGATGTAAAACAACAATGAATGTAAAAAAGTACTTTAATTCTCCCACTGTGGAGGATGGGAACAATTTTCTCTGAGAGCTTTTCTTAATCCAAGCTATATTACACTTTTCATTCTCATAAGCCCCTGGTCATGGCAATTTTGCTCTATTCCAAATTCATAGCCACCCTTTTCTGTCAAATGATAAGAATGGTTCTGCATACACTGTGATAATTTATAACAGAAATATAAGCATACAATTGTAGGTTCTTTGCATGGAATCACTGATCAAAGGCATAACATCCGGGTTGTGTCATTGGCCAAAAGTGCTACTACCTTTCTAGACAGAAAGTCACTGTCAACATAATTTTAATTTTCAGATCATTTTCTTCTCTTCTAGATAATATTTGACTCCCTGTTATTTTCAGCATTTTGTTTGTAGTTTTACCTGAAACAGTAGTATCTCCTTCTTTATGTATCTATTAATGTCTGCAAACAAGTTTAAGAAACAGAAAAAAATGAACTAGGGATTCGTGTGGCTATTTCTCCCTGTATGTATCTTACAGGAAATCACTAAATAAAACAGATTGTTTCCTCGCCTCCTTTACCCATATGAGTACCATCTTCCCAGTCCATGTCCTGTGTTACATTTCGAAATTCAAACTCATTTGCCCTGCTAAAAATAGCAGATTAAGAACTAAAGCTGATTTTAAAAGACACTAGAGGAAACAAAATGTAAGTATGGAGATTCATTTCACTAGGTGCAGCATAGAAACACAAAATCATCTTTCTAGAATCCAAGTAAAACTAAAGTTTAAAGTGCTAGAAAAATCATGCAGCCATTTGTTAATAATAATTGAATACAAACTTCTTGAGAGCAGCTCTGCATAATTTCCTTTTTCAGTACAGTTTTGTATACAGTATTCCATACAATTCTGTGCTCAAATTTATTGTTTTGTTTTTAAGAATTGTATGATTGTTCTGAAATACCTTCTGAATATCCACTAGAAAATTTAACCCATCTAGAGTGTGAAGTAGACTGAATTATACACGCTTCTTTAAATTATACACGCTTCTTTAAATCTGTCATCATACAATACAATCTCTTTCTATCCACATATTTAGTTAGTGTAGTATCTTGTTCCTCAAATAACGCTAAGTTACATTATATGTAGTCTCTTATAACTGGACGCTACACTAGAATAACTTCAACTCATTCATTTTAGAAGTGAGAAAAACAGAAGCAGATAAACTGGCAAAATCACACATAAGTGATTAAGAACGTGCACTCTTAAGTTAGGTAAACATAGATTACAAAGCAAACAGTACAATTTTTAGTGGTTTTCGGTAAACTACTTATGTCTTTAAGATTGTTTTCTAACTTTAAAATGAGGATAAATGTATTAATCTTTACAATTATTATGAGAAAAAATAAATAATTCCTATAAACTACATAATATTTTCAAAAACTAGTCATCATTTTATAACCCTATGACATTACTTGCCAGAGTAATAGCTAGATTTTGTGTCTTAGGACTTCTTTAGAGAGCTGGGGTGTCCTTCTTCTGGGCCTCTAGTTCATGAGGAAAATACAGAGGTGGCTGTGGAGCTCCTGGGCTCTTCAGTCACCACGGGTCACCCTCAAAGTTCCTAGGGGCACAGCCCTCCTCCTCTGCCTGACACAAAGCAAAAGGAAGCTCCACTTTTCTTCCTGGTTAACTGAGGCCCAACTTAGAAACAAAATGACTTGGGGTTGTATTTTGTGTGCTGGGGCTCCCATGGGCATGTTAACTTGACTCAGAGAACTCAGAGAAATGACTCTTCCCCAGCAATCTACTTGAGGGATATAAAATTTGTTTCAGCCTGCGCCAAACACTGGCTTGGCTCCCTGATCTACATCTCACAATCTCTGCCAGTTAAGGTTTTAGTCAAATCAGACACATTTGCTACCCAAGGCAGAAGGGGTTCTGACTCAAAAGGCAGAACTTACAGGTATGTCTTTCCTCAGACTGTAGAGTTATCTTTGACCTTCCTGAGGCCCTTCCCTTTATCTTTATGGTCTGATGGTGTCAAAGGTGTCACAATAGACTCTGGCAGAGATTGAGGTATGTTTATCATCCTGAGCTTCCTAAAAAAAATCCCTGAAAGGTGTACTTAAGATCACATATTCTTGTAACGGGTGACATGATAAAGAGCCAGATATTGATGAAGAAGGACATGAGGGATTCAGGTTTTTATGCATCCGGGCAGGAAGCAGGGTGATTGTCTTGGGTTGAGAAGAGAGGCAATAGAAGGGAGGAGATGGTAAGTAGGTGAAAGAGAAACTGAAAGGGGATCTAAATCAGTTGGTTGTTTTTTAAGCCACTTATCTTAGGTATAGTAAAATAATACCTACAGTCCAACTCTAATGTTAAAAAAAAAAGAAAATTATCACCTGATCCACAGGATCCCAAGCTGCAACCAGGAAGTAACAGTTCCCCCCTTCCAATAGCCATGAGGCTAGGAGCCTACTTGGGTGAGGAACAGGTGCATGACCTGTAGCAGGGCTAGTGGTTGGAGGCCCTGGGTGCCACCTCTAATTATCATGATGACACTGCTGTCACTCACATTCAACATGTTTTAAAAGGACCTCCAGACCCCCACCAGCTGTGCCCTGCCATCCTTTACACACCTCAAAGTAGTTCCCTTTCCTCTCACCACACAGAGCAGAGACAATGCCATGTCCCTTGCAGGTGTCCATCTAAGGCTCATTGGAGTCCTTATGGCCTCCCAAAGTGGCAGGTTACTTTGTAGAAAGTTCGCTAAAAGAGACTATGGAGACCTGTGGCTTCAGTTTCCTCTGGTACTAATTGAACATAAGACTTGGTAATGTTATGTCTCAGTTTGTCCTCTGGATCACAAGGTCTCACCGTAACACCCACATCCTGGGGAGGCGAGAGACTACTCACACAGGTGCATGCTGGTATCTCCTACTTACCCATCTCGGTTTGCAATTTCTCTGGAAAAAAGAACAAGAAGAGCATATTAAGAAATTTGGTCTAAGGGAATGGAGAGAGACTATTTTTTTTAAAGTAAGTTCTATGTTTTTAGGAAGTTCAATTCTTAAAAAAATATAAATGTAGAAAAATAGTCTCCTTTTTCCCAGATTACCATGTTTTTTCCTCAGCCTAAAAAAAATGCTCTTCTATTTCCCCAAGATTCTGGGGTTTTTTTCTGCTAATATTTACCATATAAATATTTAGTTATCAGTTACAAAAATACTACATATTTTTTATAGATACATGGAAAGTATAAAATTATATAGACATAGACAATTATCTATAGTTACCAACTGAGAAATTACATATATATAATGTAGAGATTATGTATAATATATAATAAGCTTTTAATATCAAAATATAACATTTGCTTTTTATCTATTCATTTATATGAATTATTATATATTGATGTCCAAATATAAAAGGCATCCCAAAAGTCTTAGTTACAAGTTATTTAAAGCCAATAAGGAAATATCTACATATAGATAAATGTAACCTTTATCACTGAATAGTAAATGAGAATTTTTCACAACTATTAAATTTTTTTAAAATAACATTTTTTTCAGCAGTGCTATAATTTATTAACAAAAACATGACACTCTACTGTTGTATTGGATGTTCTGTTGGTTTTTGTTGATATTTATAAATGAAGCTATACTTAATATTATGTATGCAGTTGTCTCCACCTTTAGTTATCTTCATATGAAAGATTTGTAGAAGTAATTGGCACAAGACAGCATTAAAAATGTTTTAAGTTGAAGGAATACAGTTTAATTTCCCTTACAATGCAATACATACTTGTGAATAAAAAGAATCAGTGTAGAAAGAGAAAAGGTAATGTCCAAAATAATTGAAGTACCATTAACAGCTATTCAAACTGTAGTGTATATGTTTTCAGTCATAAATGTTTTATATCTTTTAGTGCATTTTACTAATTGTTAGATATTTCTATGTATTTAAAAAAATGAGGTACTGTAGTACAGTCTCTGGTATTTCTTCTGCTGATCTGGGTATGTTGGTCCTAGAGACAGAACACTAACTTGGAATGTAGACTACCAAGTCCTTCTCCTCAGTGAGGACAGGGTTGTGGATGATGCAGGACACAGTCTCAGCAGAGACATCCCTGAGCACAAGGGTGTCTTCCATGTAGAATAGGCCATCTTCATCCAGGATGTGATTCCCAGACACTGTCAGCAACTTCTCTCTGTGGTTGTCTTTCCAATAAACCTGGGGCTCTGGGAACCAGTCTTCTACAGTACACACAAACTGGAATTCACTTTCCCCAGGTCCCTCCTTGTGGATGTTAGGGGCAGACCCCATACCTGTGTGAGGGAAGCCATAGCTCTGAGGCCTGGAGCCCACAGAGGCACAAATCATAGGGACCAACCGCAGTCACCCAGTGACTGTGCTCAAGGAGAGAGGGCAGAAGTTCAGGGATCTGAAGAGCAGAAAGAGACCTAAGTATTCCCATTCAAAATGGAGTTCAAGTGCACTTCATTTGCTCTCCAGTCTAAATCTTTAAATTTTACCACACTACAAGTATTTTTGTTCAGATCCAGACAAGGTAATAAAAGAAGAAGATATAATTCATCCATGAATTTCTCTATGCCATGAACTCTGCCTTTTTCATTTTACAATTATAAGGCACTTTGTTTGACATTTTGGATGACATCTGGATTTTAATTTAGACAGAATATTTACCGTAAAGACAGAAATCACTTCCCTGGGGCCTATTCTTCCCATGCTGGTGATCTTGAGATGCAGTGTAATGAACTACAGCATTTAAAATGGGAAGTTCTGGGAGAAGTTCCTTATAGCTAAATATTCTGTTCAGAGGGAAAAGGCTTTCGAGAAAACCTAGCTTAGAACAATTTGTGTTATCATGAAATTCTTTCTATTCAACACTAAACTCCTAACCCCAAAGGGGACTGTATTTTCCATAGATGGAAATTCTGTCTTTATCACAGAATAAAGGGGGAAAAGAGACTCATTCCCTTCACATGCAGCCTTAGAATTATTGTGGCTTGTTTGCAAATGTTTCTGATACTGAAATGCATCAATATCTGCTCTTCCTGCTCCCCACATCTAAGAAATACATGAATTCTTTCATCCATTTTGTCACCTTCATTGTAATAACAGTAATATTAGCAGTCATGGGTGTTACAGAAAAAGATATTAGGAAACAGCCTCCTAAGGGAGCAGAGAAGGAAGCAGCATCAGCGAGAGATGTTAACATCTCCAAAGAACTATTTCCTGGGTAAGGGAAACAGATTTGCCTGATTTTCTTTTTAGCACATGGAGGAGTTATTCTTGTCAGGGAATCATATGACTGTTTACTTTTCATATGTTTTCCCATAAGATGAACCCACTCTCCAGTTGCCCCCTTTCTCTCCATTCCTCCCCGTTTAGCTAATACAACACTACAGAACCTTGATGTTCACAGTGGGTATGTCCAAAAGCATCTCTGAGTCCTCAATTTGTTGAACACTAGTATATTATAATCTTCATAAAGCACAATATTCTTAACCCCTTTGGCCTCATCACTAGCTTTCTAACTGGAGGAATTTCACAAAGACACTAAGTTTTCACCTCTCAATTTCTAAATAGATAAGGTCGGGCAAAGAACAACCAGTTCCCTGAGATACCAATGCTGAGTAGTCAGCTGGTCTCACTCATGCCACAGTTGGCTTGCTCTGCATACCAGCATTAGGTGGCACAAATTCATGCCTCAGAAAAATCACTAATGAATGCATGTCATGAATTTCAAACAAACCTTAAAAATACTCAAAATTGTGCAAGTTAAATTTGGGGAAATATTTCAACAGTGAGCTTGTTTTGAATACTCCAGAACATTTGCTTTCAAATAAATAAGGTTAGAGGACACAGCATTTGGAATTTCCTTGATGATTCAAAGGAAATTATTTAACTGACACTAAGCTTACCACAGATAAACCTGCTTCTGCCTCTGAGGACTGATGTCTTTTCCCAGATATTTACCGCTACTTTGAGCAGCAAGCTTGTTTCTTTATTTGTTCCCATCCTGGAAATGGCACCAGTATTGTCCATTGTCAAAAGGCTGGATGTTGTGTATCTTCAGAGTCACACTTCCCTCTGCAATGCCATCCTCTATCAACTCTACTCGGTCTCTGTATTTCTCCATCTGCACCTCGGTCATTTCTGCTCCATCCCTGTATGCAAACACTGGTGTGTTGGGCTCCAAGCGGTACCACCTCACCTCCATGTGCATGGCAGTCCTCTTGGGGAGCAACTGGCAGATTAGGAGGGCATCTTCCCCAACCCTGGCCAGGATAGGATGAGCAGGACCAATCACTCTAAAGTTATCTAAAAAATGAGTGGAAAGAATGAGGCAATGCCAACCAGAGAACCAATGTCCATGCTTTGGAATTTTCAGCCTACCAAAATCGAGGCACCTAAAGGAAGAAGGGCTTTATTTTCTGTGTTTTAGAGAAATCTAGCATGATGATTTGCATGTTGTTTGTTACTGAGGCAATTTTGTATACTGAAAAGAAAAATCAAAATGCAAGTCAAAAATTTGAATATGATTGGTGAGTCTGTCATTTAACCGCTATGTGATTTGGGGACAAATCTATTATTCTCCACAAGACTTTAAAGGTTGAAGTCTTAATTGCTTCATCTTTGATGTACTAAAACAACCACCATCTCTGGGATTCCTTTATTCTCAAATAAGTTAAGATGTAAATTTATTTTCATTGAAAACCTTATTTCATTATTGATGAAGATTTTAATCATTTTCATGAAATTTTGGAAATAAATGTATTTATTACATGTTTCAGGCTTATCTAGATTCCTCCTGTGTTACATAAGGAGCTGAACTCTTTGTTGTTTCTTAATTTTTCCTGGAGAAAGCAAGAGTTTGATTACTGGGGGAATGTACCAGGCAGTTCTCACAAGGATATTTTATGATGAATTAAGGACAGTGATTTGTCTGGAGAGTTTGTCTTCCAATCAGATTATAAGTCGTGTCCAACCGCCTCCTAGTTATCTGCAAATTGAAGAGATACTTAACAATTGTGTATGTTAATATGTTTAATAATTGCACATGTCACGTATTGTAGATATTCTTCTTCCTAAGTGCTACAAGATTGTTTGGTCTTTCTCTATGAAGATTCCATCCTCCCATAAAGGAACTGCACCCTGCTCGATATCAGACAGATGCTGCTCAAAGGTTGATACAGAATTTAAGTACTTGTTGGCTCATATTCTTCCTTAACAGAGTCTAAATATGATGCTGGAATTGAAGTCATCTCTGATTGACTGTTAAGGTGTAAGGAATGGCAGTATGAGCAAGAGATGATGGCAACTTCACCACACTGCACAACTTCTAAGCCACTGAGTCTGGAGCTTTTGCCTTCTGATGTGCTCCAAAGTTTTTACCTACTTTCCCACACTACATTTTCTTTGGGGCTCTCTTATCTTACTTTAATGTTAAATTTTCATAATTCTCAAGATGCAACATTTTGACTGACACAATTCAGCTAGTGAGATTTCCAAGTCAATTTCTTAAAAGTCTCCTTCCAGTTTCTTATTTCCAAGTATTTTTATGCTACTTAATTTATGGTAAGGTGCAGCTGCTTTTCTTTTCTCCAATGTGCTGTCTGTGTGAAAGTAAGAGAATGGATTAATAACTTCATATGTTCCAGGCATTGATTCAAAGGTTTTTCATTTCAAATTTAATCCTATTGCCTGTGCTAGACTCTGAGATGTAGGTACTGCTGCTATTCTTATCATAAAAGTGAAGAAACTAAGACATAAAGCACTGAAGATACTTTCCAAAGGTGACTCAGCTGGGGGCAGACTAGCCTTTATTGGAACATAGGGCCTTGGGCCCCCAGATCTACATTGTTACCTGTTGTTCTAGTCATGTTGAGTACAGAACTCTGCGTCTACACAGGTTCACTGGGACACTGGCACATACAGTAAAGACGAAAAGGGAATCCTGCCTTTCTGTTTCATGGTTAGCAAGATGAAGAAGGAGATGACTGCACCAGACAGACTGTATCCTGGAAAATTCACCATCCTCCCCAAAGCAAACACAAGGGAATATATGACCATGCTAAGTGAGACTATGACACATGCAACACACTCCATGGTTTCCACTGGTTTGCAGTCTTAATGAGAAGTCCACATCAATAAACAAACAATGAAGTGGTTTTGGCTCCATTTCTCTGCACTTATTGATAATACCAGACTGCTTATATTGTACTTTAAGCTATGTTTTAAGCCTAAGGGGAGCTTCCTGATTGAAATTAGAAGCACTCCTGAGCTAAAGAACAAGAATTTTTAAAAATACAATCCTTAAGTCCATCCATTGTGAGCATGCAGAAATTAGAGCAGAATTCAAATATTTTGTCTTCTCTTCTGCCTACTACCCCATACCCATATAGTTCTTCTATGAAAGGCAATTTTCCGTATGTGGAGGAAAGAGTGGGAAGGTTCTACGTGCCCACACTGCAGATAGGAAGCCAACATTCAAACAGCCTTCAAAAATGAAGGACAGAGTGAGGGAAATGGGGCTACAGAAGAAGATGACCAGGGAAATTGTCTTAAATAATATCATCTCGAAAACACGTAGGAGTGGAAGAAACTGGCAAATTCAACAAGCTCACTGTACCAGACTAATGAAAATATTTCTACACAGTTAAAAAATTTAGAACTTTTTAGCAGGTAAAAGATACAATTCTAGTTTTTGTGTTGAAAAATGAAAAATTCAGAGTGAAAGAAGTCTAAGACTTATTATATCTGATGTGTCAGATGTTTTTTATTAAAGAAAACTTCTTTCAGAAGTTAGAAGAACCAGCTCAGAAGCAATGCTGTGTCAATTACTCCTTCCCCTTTTCCAGAAACTAATGTAGTATGATTTTATAGAGAGAAAAAAACCAACAACCTGAAATAGAAGCTAAAAATCAAATGATTCAGGAAATTATTATTATGGAAATAATACTCTATTCGCTTTATGAAAGAAATGTACTTTCACTTAAGATAGCTCTAAGAAAATTGAGGATCCCAGTTATATAAAACACCTAGCTCTAAAAGGGCAGTATAGTATATATGTGAAAATGAGACTGAACTTACAAGACAGCATAGATCCCTTACCCCCGATATATATATATATATATATATATTTTTTTTTTTTTTTTTTTTTTTTTTTTTTGAGTTGGAGTCTCACTCCGTCGCCCAGACTGGAGTGCAACGGCCGCTCCCGGTCACCACAGCCTCAAACTGCTGGGCTCCGGCGATCCTTCCGCCTCAGCCTTCCGAGTAGCCGAAATTACAGGCACGCGCTACCACACCTGGCTGATTTTTTGATTTATTGTAGAGATGAGGTCTCGCCAAGTTGCCCAGGCGGGTCTCGAACCCGCGGGCTCAGGCAATCCACTCACCTCAGCCTCCCAAAGGCACGGGATTACAGGCTGAGCCACCGAGCCCGGCTACCCCCGATATTTATCAGTCACCTTAAACTGAAAGATATTGCTAGAACCTCCTTGACTCCTCTTGTGAAAAGCAGAAACATCTTTTTTTCTACCAAGTAAGAACAAAAAATGTCCGTGCCAAGCTTGTGAACGAAAAAGAATCCACACTTCCTACAAACCAATTTATAGGCTTGTATTATTTTAGGTATTTTATGTCACAGTAGGTAGAAGAAGGAGCCTACAATTGAACTCTAAAAAATATTACCCAAATCAGTGAGATTTTGAAGAATGTGAAAATACATCCTAACATTCTCTGGTGCTCAGTGACAGATTTGTGAGAGAATATATAAGGGAGAAGAACTGCCTTGGATCAGGATGCTCAATGCAGAAAGAGGTAGTTTTGCCCTTAGAGGACATTTGGCCATGTATGGGGACATTTTTGGCTGTCTCCTCTGGGAGGAGGGGACACAAAATGGGTAGAAACTAAGCATGTTGCTAGACATCCCATAATGCACAGAACAGGCCCCACAACAAAGAATCATCCAGCCCAGGATGTCAGTAGTGTCAAGAAAAAACCCTGCATAGAGATTGATGTTGGTGTTCTGAAAATCTTTGACACAGTTTTTTTTTTTTTTTGTAAATAGATAACTGGAGGTAAATTTCAAACTTGATGCCGGACTTGGTGGTTCAGCCTGTAATCCCAGCACTTTGGGAAGCTGAAGCAAGTGGTTTGAGACCAGCCTGGATAATTTGGCGAGACCTCGTCTCAATAATAAATAAAAAAAGTAAGTGGGCGTGGTAGCATATGCCTGTAGCTCTGGCTATTTGGAAGGCTGAGGTGGAAGGTTGCTATAGTCCAGCGGCTCAATGCTGGGGTGGCAGTGAGCATGCCATGCACTCCAGCCTGGTGACTGAGTGAGACTCCAACTCAAAAAAAAGAAAAGTCAAACTTCAAATGAAAACTTTTTTTAATTTTTTATTTTAAAGATGTGGGGTACAATTCAGGGTTAGGTATACAAATATTCATTATGCAGGTACCCTTGTTGATGAGATGTATCCTCTCCTCCCCAGACAGATTCAAACTACTGCCAATCTCACCTCCCTGCACTCCCACCTGCCCCCCCAACAGAGTTTCCCACTACTGCCAATCCTTTTCTCTTTTTTAATTAATTTATTTATTATAAAGATGTGGGGTATAATTCAGTGTTAGTTGATCATGCAGGTACCCTTGTTGATGAGATATGCCCCTCCCTCCCCTAGCAGTTTCCCTCAACTGCCAGTCCCACCACCATCACCACCACCACCACCCCTGCCCCCCGCCTCCGACAGTTTTCCACTACTGCCAATCACTTTCTTATAGCTTTATAATTGTTCAAGGTCACCTTGTGAGTGAGAACATATGGAACTCAGTTCTTTGCTTCTGTGATAAATCAATGAGTTTGATAGACTCCAAATCCATCCAATTTGCTGCTAAGTCCATATATTTGTCCTTTATGGCTGCATAATATTTCATTGTGTATAGATACCACATTTTTTTATCCAGTCCAGCTTCAATGGGCACCACAGTGGGTTCCACGTTTTTGCTATTGTGAACAGAGCTGCAACAAACATACATGTGCAGGTATCTTTTTCGTAGAATAATTTTAGTTCCTCCAGGTATATTCCCATAGGGGAATTGCTGGGTCATATGGAAGGTCAATTTCTAGTTCTTTCAGAAATCTCCAGACTGTTTTCCAGAGAGGTTGTACAAGTTTGCATTCCCACCAGCTGTGTAGAAGCATTCCTTTTTCTCCACATCCTCACCAGCAACTGTTGTTGTTTATTTTATTACTGATGGCCATTCCTACAGGGATTAGGTGGTATCTCAATGTGGTTTTGATTTGCATTTCTCTGATGATGAGTGAGGTTGAGCACTTTTTCATGTGTCTGTTGGCTGTCCGTATATCTTTTTTTGAGAAGTGTCTATTAATACCTTTTGCCCACTTATTAAAGGGGCTGTTTGTCTTTTTCCCTTAGGTGAGTTTGAGTTTCTTTTAGATCCTAGATGTTAGACCTTTGTCAGATGTACAGTTGACAAATATTTTTTCTCATTCTGTGGGCTGTCTCCTTGCTCTCTTGATGGTCCTTTTGCTTTGCAGAAGCTCATTAATTTGATGAGGTCTCCTTGTCTATCTTATTTCTTAAGATATTGTCCTTTAGGGTTCTGGATAGGAATTTGTTGCCAGTTCCAATTTCCATAAGGGTGTCTCCTGCGTTTTCTAAGATTCTTATAGTTTGAGGTTTTATGTTTAGATCTTTGATACGTTTAGCATTAATTTTTGTGTATGGTGATAGGTAGGGGGTCCTGTTTCAGTCTTCTGCATGTAGGCAGCTGGTTTTCCCAGCATCACTTACTGAATAGGTTTTCTTCTCCCCAGTAGTTGTTGCTGGAGTCATTGACAAAGATGAGTTGGTTGAGGAATTGAGGTTTTGCTTACGGAATCTCTATCCCGTTCCATTGGTCTATGTGCCTGTTTTTATACCAATACTAAGCTGTTTTGATTACTGTAGCTTTATAGTAGAGTTTGAAGTCTGGAAGTGTGATACCTCCTGCTTTGTTTCTCTTGCTGAGAATTGTTTTGGCAACTCGTGGTCGTTTATATTTCCATATGAATTTCTGTATTGTTATTTCCAGGTCTGAGAAGAATGATGTTGGTAACTTAATGGGTATTACGTTGAATCTGTAGATTGCCTTTGGTAGGATGGACATCTTAACAATGTTGATTCTTCCTATCCATGAGCATGGTATATTTTTCAATTTGTTTGTGTCTTCTTGGATTTATTTGAGCAGTGTTTTGTAATTCTCTTTGTAAAGGACTTTCACTTCTCTGGTTAGGAAGATGCCGAGTTATTTCTTTCTTTATTTATTTATTTTTTTGTGTGTGTGACTATTGTGAATGGGATTGTGCTTTTTATTTGGGTCTCTGCCTGCTTGTTGTTGTTACATAGGAATGCAACTGACTTTTGCACATTTATTTTGTACCCTGAGACTTTGCCAAAGTCCTTTATAGTGTCAGCAGGTTTTTAATGGATTCTCTTGAATTTTCCAGGTATAGGATCATATCATCAGCAAAGAGGGATAACTTGACTTCCTCTTTTCCTATTTGGATACCCCTGATTTCCTTCTCTTGTCTAATTTCCTGGGCTAGGACTTCCAACACAATTTTAAACAAGAGGAGTGAGAGTGGACAGCATTGTCTAGTTCCAGTTTTCAGGGAAAACGTTTCTAATTTCTGTCCATTTAGCAATATGTTAGCTGTGGGTTTGTCATAGATGGCACTTACTATTTTGAGGTATTTTCCTTCTATGCTTAGGTGTTTGAGGGTTTCTATCAAGAAGGGATGCTGAATTTTATCAAAAACTTTTCCTGCATCTAATGAGTTAATCACGTGTTTCTTATTTTTACATCTGTTGATGTATTTAATGACATTTATGGTCTTGTGAATGTTGAATCAGCCCTGCATCCTGGGGATGAAGCCTACTTGGTCATGGTGGATGATTTTTGAGATGTGCTTTTGGATCCAATTTTCTAGAATTTTGTTGAGAATTTTTGCATCTGTGTTCATA